GGCCCGCACGCGCGCCTGCACCCGGCAAGTCGGCACCTTAAATCGATCGCGGCTCTCCTCCACCTCCTGGCTTGAACATGACGCAGCTGTCCTCTGATCAAAGCCTTCTTCTCTCTCCTATCATTGTGGACGAACATCCACCCTATACGTTTGACAGACCATCGAACAGAGACCCAAGTGCAGGCCCCGCGTCTCAAGATTAGCTAGAATCGAGGCATTCGAAGCTCTGAGTCTGGGAGCGCAGGAAGACACTGTGTGCATCTCACGTTTCGAAGCAAGGCGCACCCAATCATGTCGCGCTCGCTACCAACGGCGCTCAAGTCGCTCATAAAAGCGCCCACATTCGCTGCGAGAGCCTCGACAGTAAATACGGGCAAGACACTGCCGCCTGGTAGACAATCGGGTCCCCTTGCTGGCCCGGGTGATGAGAAGTTGAATGCGCTGTTTGACAAGATCGACCAGGAAGCAAAGGATCGCAAGGTGGGATGGAGCGAGTGGGGCTGCTTTGCAGTAAGTCTGGAAGCACCATGCGCTGCAGATGTCTTCGCGCTGCCTGGCCTTCTGCCAGATGGCTTACTCGGATGGATGCTTTGGGCACCTCACAGACCGCTACCCTCGTCACTCTCAACGCCAGCTCTTCCTTGGCGGCTTTGCACAGACATTCTGTCGCTTCTCCAGCTTTGCGACTCTCTCTGGAAGAGAAGCTCAACAGAGCTCAACTGATGAGAGAGACGGGTCTGAAGTGCATCGGTTTCATTGGCATACCTAAGGTGCGTGCCTTTCTCCGTGACCCTGTTTTTCTCTTTTGCAGCACACGTCACTGGCTGACTTGCCTCGATGTTGACTGTGTCATGCTCTTTCGTAGGTCATCAATAATCTCGCTGCACTTCGCGCAGCCGTGGAAGAAGACAAAGAATTAAGTCATGCACTGCCCATGGAGCCGCGAAGGTAAGAGCGATGCTTCGAGTTCCAGCTCAAGAAAGTCAAATGCGACTTACGCACCGCCTCTTTACACCCCGAGCCTACCAGGAAAATCACGCCCGAGCTCTTGCCGCGAGTCGAAGAGGCGGCGAATGCGCTTTGGGACAACATTTACACTCCTCATTCTTCAAAGCTGCTCAAGATTTTGGGCAGATCGCACCCCGACTTGCCGGTGTTCATCGTGGATGGAGAGTACGGACCACTGTTCAGCCCTCCGCACACCTTCGCAGCTCCGAACCCACCACCCAGTCTAGCCTCGTCTGAGGAGCCTCCTGCTCTGGAACCTGTTTGGGAAGTGGGAAGATTGAGGACCAGCTTGGTT